CAGCCTCTCACTGATTTTTTTAAAAATACCCCTGTGCATTAGACTTTCTTAAATGTAAGAAGTGTATCCAAATATGCATTTTTTTTTTCACTCAAGTATGCAGCAGCATGACAAGGGCTTGTTTGACTATTAAACCATAACTGATTTTTGACAAATACCTTGTGCATCTCACTTACTTCCACAAATACAGGTTTCTACAGATTTCTTTTAAATAACTATTTTTGCATAAATCTATTACTCAAATTATTTAGTTGATTTAAAAAATATACTTTTAATATTTCTTTAGCAAAACTTTCTTTGGTGAAAGGGGGTATACATTTTCAATTGATATAATACAGAAACTTCTAAAAATATAGAAGCATGATACATATTTTAAAGAAATATATTTCTCTAGGGAATTTACCTCATCACCTCCTAACTAAATCCCTCTTGGGTTTAAGCTCTTGGTACTGATTACTGGCTCCAGAATAGTTAATCAGAATATTATAAATACCCAAGGTACTGAAGCCTGGAGAGAGACGTTTAAATAAAGTAATGAAGACAGTGATCCCATAATGAAGGCCTCCACTGATGCACGGGCGCCAGGCAGCGTCACCCCCAAGTGCAGTCCCCATAATGCCCTGCAATGACCTCCACGCTGACCTGCAGAGACCACTGTCTCAAGGGGTGACAGACAATTTAGTCCTTTATCCTTTTGTCATTGAAAGCGACTCCACTGCCATAAATTCTAATCAAGTCAAACTGGATGGCAATTTGAAAGAAAAAAATCTTATAATGCATGTTTCTGTGAGAAAGATCACAGAAAGGAAAAGAAATACACAATATAGTACATTCTATAGCATGGAGGAATCCCTGAGCCAACTTTAAGGCCTTTTCCAACAGCTCACAGATAAATGGCATTGAAAATACCCACTCTTAAAAGTATCATTGCATGCAATTTCTTTTATCCTAGAAAAGCACAATATCAGAAGAGAAAATCAACCACAAACTTTTTACTTTGGATGCAATGCTTATACAAGGTTTTATAGTTCCATCTCAGCTCAAGACTCTTAGCTGTGTGCCCCATTCATGCACAGTGTAGTACAACTGAGAAGCCAGTCACCGAGACTAACGCAGCCACCCAAGATAGCTGGGACTTAAAGGAAAGAAATCATGAGGTTTAACTTCAAACAATAAACATTTTCCCAGGAGAAACACTGTTAATAAATCATCTTTCAAATCTCAAATATATAGGGGAGAAAATATTTAGGGCATGTTTTATGAGATCTCACTTCTTCGGCTGAGAGTGCATGGGAAAACTTTAGTGCACATATTTTTTCCAAGGATATATATTACTTTTATCCCTTCTGCCGTCATTTTCCTGACCAAGTTGTTGATGCTACCATTTGAATTTCAGCATCCAACTTGACTGAATGTGGAACACTGAATTCTTGATGGGCATAACTAAAAGTGAAGCACCACATTGACACGAGTACTATAAATGTCACTAGAGAAACACAGCAACCTCTTCCCTTTAAGATGGTTCGCCAAAGGCCAGTTTTGAGAATGGTTTCCAATATGTACATCACTAGTCACATATTAAATGACTGGCTCTATGTAGCATCACTCATCTGATCACACAGCTAAAGCCCTGTGAGATACAGCTCCAGATTCTCTGATAATCCCCCACCCCCAACCACATGCAAACCTGTTCTCCTCTATACTGTTTCTTACGGCTCAGAGCTTAGCATAATACAGTCATGAACTGAAAAAGGAGATAGGTATCCTACAGGCTTTAGAAGAATAAATAATGGACCACTTAATGATATCACAGAGAACTACCTAACCACATGTTTCTCAATGAAATGTGGATTCATCTCTCCTAAGTGTACTTTAGTTTCCATGGCTGTTCAAGTTAAGCAAAATGTTACCACTGATGTAATTACTTTATAAAACACAAGGGCCCTTTTCTGAACTTTCTACTTAGGCTGGCATATGGCTTCTCCTTTCTCCTTCTGGTATTCTGAGTTGCTCAGAGCACTGAAACATTCTGCACAGTATGTTTCCCTTTGGATGCTGTTAAGTGCAGAGGTGCAATTTAAGGAGAGGCATAAAAGGCCCAGTGGTTCCTGGAATTTCCTTTGTTTATCCATAGAGGGCATCAGTATTATCCTTTCTCCTGCAGTTTTGGGCTGAAGGTACCATACTGTGAGGGAAACACACTTGTCCTCTGGACTGCTAATTTGAACAGTACACAGATGGGGGAAGAGGCTTCAAAGAAATCCATTTATACTGAAATTTCAGGTACAATAAAAAAACCTGAGCTCTGCTTGTCTCCTGTTGTTGGTTAATGTCTCTCCATGAAACTAAACATATCAAGATGCACATGATTTGTCATAATCTTGCCATCTCATTAGAGAAGCCCAATTTTCAATACTACAGTGTATATATAGAAGAATGACAGTTTGAGAGAGAGAGTGAGTATATTAGAAAATTATTGTTTAGATAAAAACATAGATGCTGTCAACTATTCAGGAAGAACACAATTCTTCATTACCAAGTAAAGGGTATAATCAAGACTACATCTAAAAACAAAAAACAGACTTGAACATATGCATATCAAAGAAAATCATGGTTCCTTAAATTGTGCTGCCAAAGTTGCTAAAAATTCTGGGACAGAATTATTCTGGAAAGTTTTAGTCAGTTACGTAAACTTGAATTGCTACGGCCAAGTCCTGGTAATATTAAAAAGTAAGAGCATAACAGGCCCCTGCGAAGGAAACCTTATGAGAATATTAGGGTGTCTTCCTCCTGATCCTTTCTATTCTTTCTTTCTCATATTGTCTCTAATTTTTTTCAAGTTCTCAAAACTGTTAATCTACTGATTTCTTCTTGACCTAATTGGAAACTGGGAAATACTCGCGTTGTGTTTGAAAAACAGTCTAGAGACCAAAGACAATTAAGTGAATTCAAAAGGAATGTAAGATGTAGATTTTGCTGTGTTCTCTCACACAAACTCAGAAGTTGAGAATTTCAAAATGAAAAGCGGATTCCTTCTAAAATCCACTATGATTTTAACATTAAACTATGAATTCTTAGTAAATGGCACCTCACAAAAATATTACTTTTGAATTAAACTTTTAATTCACATCTCTTTGACCCTCTTGGAATTTTTGAAGCTTTTTTCTCTACACATGCAAATCAGTAAGACATAGCATAACAAATCTATAACAGTGTTCAACACTGGGAACCCTAAACAAATGAAAAAATCAATCACCCCTCTTTTGGATTACTTGAAAGAAAACAAGTTGGAGCTCCAAGCTCAAGTCTACAAAATCCATTTACTTTTATTTTAAATGCATGCAAAGTTTAGGAACAAAAATGTATTATCTGTAGCTTGTTGAACTCAAAATTGATTACTTTTTAAAAGTCAAAGTGCTTACTTAGCATACTCAACATCAGACGGGTATGAGCATGGCTTTTACCTTTCTGTAATTTATCATTTTATCTGACTTTTCTCACTACTCTCCTACAATTGAAGCGAAGGTTTTTAGTGCATAATTCTTCCTAGATGGACAAAAACTTACACTGTAAAAAAAATTTCTTTAGGGTGAAAATGCTAAAACCCAAACGCACGGGTTTGGAAATTCATGTCAGAGGTAGCATTGCTGCTTTTCAAAGAAGGGGTGCTACCAAAGAATTTCTTGCAATTGGAATCTAGTATATTGTTAAGCATAAAACAGTATTGTACCAAGAGAAAATCTGAAAAGCAGAGTTTCTCTGTGACATCTCTCTAATGTTTGATTGAGTAAGCATTTAAAATTAAGGAAAAGCTTGTCTGTTGAAGCAAGCTAGCCTAGAGTTGCCAAACTCTCAAGGCAGCTTGCTTTCTGTCTGTTAAAATAAATAAATAAATAAAGCCTGTGTTTTAAGCCGAACTGCTGATTTTCTTAACAAAGTAGTAGTCTATGTAATGATTTTTTTTTTTTTTTTTGAAGTTCAGGTGCTTGTTTCCTACCTGAGACCAACCAGTACTCTGCCTGATATATATACCTCAGGTTAGTAGGTATACATATGTCTATGTGTGTGTGCACACACATGCACTTGAAAATAATTAAAAGCAACTGTTTCAGGAGCAATTGTTCTGAAAAGCTAACGTCACTCTGAACCCTAAAGTGCTTCTCCAGCAGAGACATCCATTAACATCTATCACTCAGGCACGCGCCTCAACAACCCGCTCCCCTTTCTGATTAGAGATCACAGTTGCATGAGTTGGCTTACAGAGTGTCATCTGTTTGAATGACAGATGTCTTTGCTGGAGTGGCACTCTGCTTGTTCTTGTTTTGTTTATGAAACAAAGATTCCTAAAAGGTCCTGGGCTGCCTCTACTTTTAGTTATGAGGCTATAAACACAATGTCGAAAAGGAGAGGGGTAGAGGAGGGAATCAGAGAACCTGTTTTCTTTCCTCATCACCTTTTTTAAAGAAGAAATATTCATTCTGATTGTGATGACACATGTTATTTCTTAGAGCAATTCCTGTGGCCACCTTTGTTTACCTGGCATAGCAAGACTTGTATTGATATTTTTCAGTTCTCCTCTCCCATCTTTAGACGACAGATAATGTCTTTACTCACCTTCCCCTTAACAAAAGGCTGCGAAGCAACCTGAAACCGAGTCGATATTTACTCAATAAATGTTAACCAATTTTCACAATGGAACCGATTTCCTGATTATTATTACCACTTTCTATTTTTTTCCAAATAATTTCCAGCCTGGGGACTCTAGCAATATTTGACAAGTCAAAATGGGCAGCGAATAAGTTCCTTGTTGGTAAAAGTTTGGAGGACATCCTCCTAGCTGGCTGGAATCAGCTTCGGTGGCTTAGCACCTCCAAGATGCTCCTTTTTAGTACTTACGAGAAAACTGAATGAACAACAGAAAAAAAGGGGGGGTTGGGGGAGTTGGATTGCTCTTCCGGACACCATGGTAGTACTGAAATGAAATACCTAGACAGACTTACCGAAGAGCTTGCTGGGAGTGTCCTCGCTGTCATTTGATTCCACAGGCGCAAGCAGGGGCTCATTCAGCTCGCTGTCTGAAGTAGCAGCCTTGTCCTCACCTCTCAACTCCGCATTCATTTCACTCCGCACTGACAGCAAGGGCTTACTGACTTGTCCAGCTATCATTGGATCCTAGGATGGGCGAAAAGAGTGAAGGGGAGGAAAAAAAAAGTGGCAGCTTTAGAGTGCGTGTCCTCTCTCTCCCTCTCCCTCTCTCTTCTCTCTCTCTCTTCCACACACACTCTCCCTCTCTCCTCTCTTATCTCTGGCTGCTCCCGCTGTTATTGCTGGCTGCAGTCAAGTGAAGAGCTATTACAGATCCGATGAGTTCTCCATTACTCCCCACCCTATTAAAGCTCAACTAGCATGTGAGAGATTCAGGAGGCTTTGGAGGAAAAAAAAAAAAAAACTTATTTGAAAGCAACCTAACCAACACAGCTTTAATTGTGGGATATGCTTTTGTGCGAATGGTTTTACACCTTGTTCTGTCTTTAATGCAGTAAGAAAAAAGAAAGTGCTGGGCTTGTACTTCAGCAACATACTAAAAAGGAAGAGCACCCTATGGAGGAACCACGGGCTATTTTAAGAAGCCTTCTCCCCGGGGGAGAAGCAATTAAACCCTATCCCAAGAGCAGAGAAAAAAGATAGGGAGAAAAGAGACCTCGAAAGGCTTTCAATGGAATAAAAGATATTTCTTATGTAAATTCTATAAGCACCCTTAGAAGTTGGCTTCACTGGTCCCAGATTGGGAACCGGAGCTGACCCCAAATCAAATGAACATTTTAAAGCAAATAATACACAACACAATACACGAAAATTGATTTAAATTTTTTTTTAAGGAATTGGGAAAATACTTACAAACTGTGTTCAATAATTCGGATACCTAGAGCATCACACACCCAGAGCATTAAAGAAAAAGAAAACAAAAATCGCCTTCAGAAAAGACAAACTTTCCCCCCTTATTATTTAGATCTACTTTATCTTCAGCTCATTTAGGAGGGCATTTTAGGATCAGAAATATTTTCCAAGTGTAGTCTTTTATTCCATTTGCAAACTGAGACGCATAATATTGTTTTGGCACAATATCAGATGCAGAAGGAAAGGAGGAGTAAGAAGTGCCCTTTTTGCGAGATCTGGGAGCTATTTATTGCCAAGTTCATGCCTAAATGGTTCCTGAGCAGGAAACAGGTGACCAGCACAGAAGCAGGTGGGGCGGCATGCTCCCGGGTCCCACCATTGCATTGGTTGCGGTATGCCTGTGTGTTTTTTTTTTTTTTAATGTATTCATGCCTGAAAAGTGAATTTGATATGACACATGATAATCTATGAAAATGTTAATCAATACAAATAGTTTAAGCTGTCATCAAATGCACTTCTTTAGTCAATACTCATACCATTGAAAACAATGTCACTGTCACCAGGGCTTAATTTGCACAGCACTTAAATATTGGACTCTGTGCATCAATGCACTTCTTCTTCAAATACTGTAGGTAAACACATTTTCTCCCTATTTAAGGCTGAAGCACTCAGCACGCATTTAACTGAGCCGAATCCTCCCTTTTGAATACCTTGATAGGTCCACTGGAGGGCAAAATTAATACTTAATTGAATCTCACAGTCATCAAAATAATCAATACTTTTTTATTATTTATTCTTTACAGTCTGTTGACTGTTTCAAACCTCTGAGGGAATGGTGGAAAGGATTCATGGCTTTGAAACACTGTCATTTAACAAGGTAATTTTCAGTGGGGCATTAGGGGTTGTGAAACATATAATAAAACAAAAACGGTGGCTTATAATAGGAAGAAAGAAAAGAATTATATTTCTGCCATCTAACAAAACAGGATAAATAAAAAAGCAAGTGCAGAGAAAGAGAGAGAGCGAGAAAGGAGGGGGACGAGGGCGAGAGAAAGACTGGCTTTTGAAGGGTTTTATCATATCAAGAGCAGAGCCGAGCTTTCATAATGCTGACATTTCTCATCCTGACAATCCTAAACAAGTGGAAAGGATGAGATCGCAGATATCATCTTTCATCACATTCCCCAGCTTAAGAACCAACATGACAGCTCCTCTTCCCTTTACACTGTTAATTACTAAATAAAATACTACTCTCTGTCAGCACCAGATTATTGCAGATAGCAACCACAAACATTTCTCCATTGTTTTCCCCCCTCAGAAATGGTGATACCTACCTTGAACTCCTTAGAAAAGAAATTAGACTTGTCTCACCATATTGTAAATATTTGAAATATAATCAATGTAATCAATGCAGTCGATTCACAGTATTGTCAGCTTGAATTTGCTAGTGATAGATTTGCATTTTGTTTACTGGGTCTTGTTGCCGGGATTTGGAGCGCTTGAAACTTGGGGGAGATGGGGGAGGCAGGAAGAAGGGAAAGGAGACACACAATTCTCAAAATTTCCCCAGATCTCTTTCCTAAATATCTAAGAAAGCATGCCTGTTCGAGTTCTGATTCAGTTGGTGGGTGGGTGGGTAGGGAAAGAAACAACGCTCGTTGGTTGACCTCGTGGCATTCCTAAGTATACTTGTCATGTGATGTCAAGATCCCAGGTTTACATTCTAGTCCACTCTTGTTACTTTATAAAAGGTTGAATCCTCAGTCTCTCTAATCTAAAGGAAGGGGTGTGACCTGTACCTTTGAGATACCCAGTCTCTGTTGCTGTACTGTTCATCTGAGCATTTTTTAAGATAACGTTAATGATAAACTTATGTTGAGAATAGCAGCCTTATGATAAGTCAGACATGATTATTAATGTGCCAGTGAATATCTGGGCAAACTTAAGAAAGAATATTCTACTCTTGCTTTATTTGTAAAGGGTTGAACTGAATCCTGAACCACACTGACGAGCTGAAATGCAGCTGCTGAGTTCAAGTGCACTTAAATCTTTAAGATGTTCCGTCTGGCTGATGTGTGCAAAACATGCACTGGCAGATGGTATATGTTCACTGACCATTAGCTCTTCTTCCTTAAATTACTTTTATGTACCTCATACATGGCTAGGTTCCCAACTAGTGCCTCTCACTGACTTGAGCTTCGAAAATCCAAGAGTTTGTCATTCAAGTACTCATTTGAATTTTTTGTGTTACAGTTTACGTTTTCCATGATGCAGCCCATATATATGTATATATATACACACACACACACATACATACATACATGACATGGTTAAACAGCAAACCCCCAGTGAGGCAGAGAGCAGACAGCTTTTAATCACAGCTGCAGCCACTGGGGGGTCCATTTGAAAATGTGTCACAAGCAGTAACCAGTGAGTACAGACTTATAAGTGATGGGGGAGTGCCTCTTTCAAGTAGCACTCGGCTTGGAAGTCATTCTCTCTCTGCCAAGAGCCATAGCAGTCTGTGAAATCCTTTCTGTCGGAGTAAAGAGAGGATTTTCCAACATGCACCTATGTAGGTGCTTGTAGAAATGTAACAGACCTGCAACTTCAACCTGTACAAGGATCTCTGCAGCGGTAAACAGGAACAGAAATAGCTAGTGCAGGTGAGAAGTAAAATAGAGCTGATGAAGACTTTTTACTTGAAACTCTGAAATTGTTACTATCACAGTAGAAGACGTTGAGACTTCTTTGCAATTTGTTTATCATCCCTGACAGAAGAAAGTGACTGGTCCACCATGGAACAGCATTGCACGTGTGCAAGAATAGGACGTGGCATATGCCAATACAGGACACTCACAGGGGCCATCAGAGACACAAGAACCAGATGGCGAAAAAAGGAGAAGCAGGAGAGGTAGTTTCTGTTAGCAAAATCACAATAAAAATTTTCACCATGTCCTACAAGGAGAGGACTGCAATAACCACCAGAAACTACACAGTGATTATTTATCTCCTTCAAGCATTATTAAGGAATAAAAATAGGTCCCACTTATTGAATGCCTTTACCAGACAGGCTCCTCAGATGGATCTAATGTTACCCCAGCTATGCAAGGTATCAGCCCAGATGGAGGCTCAGTAGGCTATTTCTTGCCCCAAAGGCACACAGCTAAGTGGTAAAGCTGCATTTTCAACCCTGGCCGATTGATCTCCAAAAGTCAGCACCTTTTTTACCCAGTAGGCATTGAGTAAAAAATTCAAGGCTATGGACTTAGTCACTCATGGGGTATCCCAGATTTTTGGATTATGAGCCAGAGCCAGTGGCTGTGAAAGGTGTGAAAGCCTGGATACCCTAGTCCCAGACATCATCTTCCCTGTGGAATACAGGAACAAAACAGCTCTCTGGTTGACTTTGCTTGAATGAAATATATGGGGCAATATGGCATAGTAGACAGGACATCAGATAGTGTTCAATACCCAGGCTTGCATTCAGCTTCACCCTCTAGATAAACATGGCAAGCCACTTAACCACGTTTGGCCTTGGTTTTGTTGTCTAGAAAGTGAAAAGTCTATAATAAAACAATATTTCCCAAAGTGCATTCCACGAAACACTTGCCCCAAAAGACACTCTGCAATGAAAGAGTTCTGCAGTCGTACCCACATGGAAAACTCAGCAGGAAAGTCTGCCAGGAAAGAAGTCCATCGAATTATCTTATCCTAGCATTTTCCAAGATTATCTGACCATGGGAGGTCTTTGCCTTATAACTCATATTATCTAATAGATCTGGAATGGGCAAGATTAGATTATCTGTAAATTACTGCACTAATTTTTAATGATTTTATAATACTAAGCTCAAGCACTTCTACAAGTACCTATTTGTGTAGTGCTTCTCACATTCTAACAACTTTTACCTAGTTAATGTTTCTTAGAGTTTATTATGTGTAGTTACCATATATGATATATGATTTACTATGTACTAACCATATATACTGTCATTATATGCTAACTTCTGGTGTACTTTCCTATAATTTTTAAATAGAGATGTACCAGTGTATTTCTATCATAAAGCCTTGAAAGAGTAGATATGGGGTACTGTATTAAGGAGGAGAATTCAACTTGGGCTTTGTGTTTTTTTAACCAGGCTGCTAAAAATAATACCACATAAACAAATATGTAATTCAGCTAAAGACGTTCAATAATTTAACCAACAGAGTTTTGATAAGCATATTTATTCTATTTTATAGTCAGAGAAACTAAAGATAGCGAGATAATTAAC